GCTTTCCATTTGATGACACAATCGACACAAGCGTCGTTCTATCTTTCTTGGACATTCAGAGAGTGACAAAGATAGAACAATACTTGTGTCGACTGTGTCTCTTAAAAGGAAAGCAGCCATTGTTATATTGACTTAAGCCGGTTGCGCCTCTCTGATAAATCTAGGACTCTACTCCTGCCAAAAACGCCGATACCAATTGCGTCATAAATGCCGTCCGCCAATGCCGTCCGCCAATGCCATCGTCAATGTCGACGCCAATGTCGACGCCAACGCCGACGCCGAGCGTCGATTACTTCTGTCTATCAGTCGGGGCGCCGTCGCGGGGATGCTTCGTACAGTAAACGGTAGAACGGGTGGTAATAATCGCGTTACGTTTCTTAGGAGTAGATCCACACCCATGTCTCACGGTAATTCGCTGCTACGTATGTACAAGTGTCGTGTGATATATCACCGCACTCTATATCTTTCATTTATCTGTCACTGCTTTCTCGTAAATTCTGTGATGTGAATTTTGTTGCGTCTGAAAACACAATCTCGCGTGAACTTTTTTTTTCCTTGCCCAATGCATCGATAAAACCTGAGTCCACGCGCATACGACGAGAGAATCGTGATCTTCGAGTCGCGTGGCGCGCGTTGCGAATTTGCAAGGATGTGGCGGATGTCGTCCAAACGTCCACCAAAGTGGCGGTAAAAAAGGATAATCGCGTGTATATATATATATATATATATATGATAGAGGCACCCATGCACCTACATGATTTACAGGACTTGTGTGATAATAATTGACATATCCTTTTTCTCTAATTTTTGTTACATATAGTTTTTCTCAACTAAACACTGTTATATCATCTTAACTTTAATATAAATTGAATCGTTTGAAGTAGGGTAAAAGCAGGGAATGTGGAATTAGGCTACTAAAGTGAATAATAGGGACTTATTTTTTAAATAAAGCACTATAACTTGGCAGTAATCGGTGGAAGTTGGTGCAGCTGCTAGCTAAACATGTATAACAAGCAATGAACTGGGTGCGACAATTACGTGCATCATTAGTATAAGCATTTATTTATTTTTGTTGCGTCTGGAGATTCGAGAGCTTTATTTAAAAAGTAGTCTCATAAATTAAAGGTAAGTTTGTTAATGCTTACATTACACAGATTTTAATAGCTTTTAATAATGTTGTATGAACAATATATACAGTATATGCTAATTATAATTGCGATTTCTAACTTGTTTAATTTATTGCCACGGAAAGACTATTTGTTATATGAAAACATGCAAATAATATGGAATACATCGAAGGTTGAGAATTGATTCTTGTTGTGAAAAATGATTATTTTAGATGTTAATATTTATTTTACATAATTATTTAATGATTTAAGATTCAATTTTGTTCTTTATTAGGTGCATTCAATACTACAAACGCAAACTGAGCACTCACTGAGCTTTTGCATCTGATTGACATATTCCGTTAGATCTAAAAATCTAGACCAATCAAAAGCAAAGACCACTTACTGAGCGCTCAGTGAGTTCTTAGGTTTGTTCTACCTACTACTTGTATCTACTTACTATAGCTTTTACTCAATCCAACGCGCTTGATAGAGTGAGTAGGAGCTATGGTAGGAGCATGTTGGAGCATGTTGGAGCTTGCGACGCGAACAAACCTCTTGTATCTGTTTGGTCTATATTTTTAGATCTAATGGAATATATCAATCAGATGCAATAACTAATTGAGCGCTTAATGAGCGATTGTGCTTCTAGATGCACCAAATGCACCCATTGTCTTCTCCATGTCCAAAATGATGTTAGTTAATTTCTACATATTATTATACAATAAAAAATAAGAATTATTTTAACTCCATTTTAATCAATTTACATAAATAAACAAATTTTCACTTTATTTATTGTATTATTTATTACTTTTCCCCAAATTTAATCGGTATTCCATGTTAAATCCTATTTTTTAAACTCCTCATTTTCACACTTTACTTTTTTGTTAACTTCTAAAATTTTGTTTGGATTTAAATTTTGTATCTTCTAAAATTTTGTTTGGATTAAATTTTGGCGATTTTCATTTCTTGAATGTTGTAGCTAACATAGTCCTCAAGAGTTCTGTATAAATTTAAATTTTTCATATGCATTTATATCAAAGTAATATTAATTTAAAAACCAATATTCCTTTTGCTTTTATCCTATTTGTTAAATGAATTCAAACAGCCTACACACAGATAGTTATATACTTAAAGCTAAAAAATTGCATTCGATTACAGATTTTATTTGTTAAAATATAAAAATCATGTTTATGAAATTCGATATTCAACGATGAGAATCGGAAAATCACTCCATCGCAAGCAATTCTTCTGAATGTATTTCACAATTAGATTTATTTGGAGAGTAACTAAAGAGTACATTCAGTACCACGACCGCTCACTGAGCGCTCAGTGAGCTCTTGTATCTGTTTGGTCTATATTTTTAGTTCTAACGGAATATACTAATAAGATGCAAGAGCTCACTGAGCGCTCAGTGAGTGATTGTAGTATTGAATGCACCCAAAGATTACATTGAATAATATTAAATATGACCACGTTTGCACGGCATCCTTAACCGGATTTAATAACCTCCATAGTTATGAAATCGGCCAATCACAGTCATTCCATTCTTCTGAGGAACAGCTATGATTGGCCAATTTCATAACTATGGATTTTATTAAATCCGATTAAGCGTGCCGTGTAACAGAGTTATGTTTGCACCATGATGTAATTGAATATCGTAAGATTTTTGCTTTTCACGGAGTGCTTTTCACGGTCTACTGAATGCGTAATTGAATACGTAAATGCGCATAATAAATGTTCGACGACTTTGATAAGACTAGATTAATTTCGTACTTTCTCTCCCTCCCCCCCAACATGTGCGCCTGCGTATTATAGCTAAGCTATCTCACACTGAGCAATTGATTTTGCAATCTTTATATAAATCGCGCAAACGCGTTGCCATCACGTAACTATCGCTATATATTTTCTAAATCGTTGATATGATTGTTTCGACATTATCAGTTGCACAATCGTACAACTTATTCGTATATGTTTGTATACGATTTTTGTAATTATTATAGATAAATATCATGAAAAAAATATGTAGGTATACATATATTGAAATAAAAAACGCCTTAATTTACAAAAAAAAGTTCAAAATAAAAAACGTCTTAATTTAAAGAAAAAAGTTCAATAAAAATATTCTGAAATATAATGTAACATATTTTTAGAAAACTATAATAAATTTTACGATATATAAATTCAGTGTCTGCTCTCTTATTTATATATATATAATTATCTTGGTAATTATTTATATAGATGAATAAATGGCTTTATATTATTTTTAACTAGACTATTAAAATATGTATTATCTCCATCTTTATATATTTATCTTAGATAAAAATTGTGTAATCTTTTTAAATTATCTTAATATGTAGCGAATTTAGTATGCACTCTTTTCCCTCCAGTATAAGATTTTAAAGAATTGCTTTTTTTATAAAAAAAAATAATTTTTTTAAGAAATAGAGATTTTAGGTGGAAATATGAATGTATCGTTTCTATATTCTAAATTGTTTTGCTTAAAAGCGATATTATCTTAAAATTATCTAGATAAAACGATTTATAATTTAACAATAAAAACAATGAAATAAAATATGGACTCCTAATCAAAAAATTTAATTAAAACGCTAGAAGTTGGCGCGGAAAAATAGTGCGCAAAGTGTTAACAATAAATTATTTTAATTACATACAAATCCTCTGACTTATAATTTCATCTTTTATCTAGATATATTTAAAATGATGTCATCTTTATCTTATCTATACGTTTATGTGTAAAATTTATCCTATCTTTATCTAGGTAATTTTTATTTAAGCGCAACACTATACAGGGTGTCCCATTTTAAATAATGCATTAAGATTTCTCGAAAACTATGGTAGATATGGAAAAATGTTTCAAATAAAAGTTGTATGGTTCGGAGAGGGACATAAGAAGGTATCATTGATTTGACCTTGGGTGGCGTCGTTAAGATCAGGTCCAGGTCATATCGATTTTTTTAAACGGAACACCATATTTTTGATGCCAGAATTTAATAGCTGGTGTCAAGAGCTTTTCAAAACATATAAATAATTATAATAAAGTTATTGTTCATTAAGTATTTTTCGAGTTATAAGTCTTGAAAGTTACAGTACCACCGGCATGGTATTAGCATTACGCAAGGTGTTCGACTGACGGCTAAAACCTCTTGAATGTTATTCAGAATCATGTCCTAGATAATATTTGTCAAGATCAAAGCCATTGGAGATTATTCCTCTTATTTTCATTTTTACATAAAAATGAATTCTTAGTGCAAAAATGAAAATAAGAGGAAATAATCTCCAATGGCCTTGATCTTGACAAATATTATCTAGGACATGATCCTGAACAATATTCAAGAGGTTTTAGCCGTCAATTGGACACCTTGCGTAATGCTAAAGCCGGCGGTACTGTAACTTTCAAGCTTTATAACTCGAAAAGTACTTAATGAAAAATAACTTAATTATAGTGTTTTGAAAAGCTATTAGATTCTGGAATCAAAAATATGGTGTTTCATTTAAAAAAATCTATGTGACCTTGACCTGACCTTAACGACGCCACCCAAGGTCAAATCAATGGTATCTTCTTATGTCTTCCTCCAAACCATACAACTTTTGTTTGAAACATTTTTCCGTATCTACCATAGTTTTCGAGAAATCTTAATGCATTATTTAAAATGGGACACCCTGTATATACAAAATTGCATGTATACCGTATCTGATAAATTATTTCCGAGTGGGCAATTCGCATTGATAGAAAACTTATACATACATCCATAATGATACAATAACTATCCCACAAATTTTCGCACGTAACGTAATCTTGATCCTGTGAACGTTTTCATTGAGAAAGGAATAATAGATTCACATTGTTATCGTGATACCTTCAGGACCATAAGAGGAAGTCCACATTTCGGCGAAAAGCGAGCGAAAGGTAGACAATGCTGAAATGATGTAATTTTCTCCTTAACGGCTGATAATCATCCAATTCAACAGTGGCCCAGTAACATCGTTATCACAATGAATCGAGAAAACGAGGAAGTACGTTAGCAAACATGAGAATATCGTTCAGTTTTCTTCTTTTCTTTTGTTCATTTTTCTTGCTTTTTATGATCGTTCCGGAATCCTTCATATAGTATATGTATATGTAAATCATATTAATCTTGTTTACAAGAAAAATTCATTTCCGACTGTCAGTGCTAGAAGTAATTCAAGATGCATTGCACGCTCCAGTTAAAAAGTAGGAACAAAAACCACTTAAGATAAATTTGTTACTTTTATTAATTGTAACTTACCGAAAGTTAATTTTCGAAAACGCTTTCCCGTTTTTCGCTCTTATTTTGCAAATAACTGACAACCTCGTGCATTAATCTTTCACCTTCAGCAGCGACCAGTTCCTCAGACGTTATGCGGCGCGCTGCAAAAAGAACCGAACTGCAAATGCTTGGTGCTGACAGTCCTCATATACGGCTGTCTCGCGGCAGTAACATGGTGCAGATGTGCCAACGTTACCAAGGTACATGAAAGATATTTTGTACCTGAATGTAGATTGTATTTACAACTGATTTTATGCTGCTAAATGCGATGGATTGAAATATCAAATTGTTTCGAATCACGACTATTTCGAATATTTTCTATTATTATCTAAAATTAATTTCTAAAGATTGCTGAATGTAAGCGTGTATCCGGCTGTCCAACCATTAACTATATATAGATATATTACGAAAGTTGCAAAATGGTAGAGGACTTTTCGACTCAATTTTTAATCAGAAATAGCGCTTTATGATTAGTGTCCGTTATTTAAGAAATACCATGTATGTCTGCGTTTGCTGAGTATGATCTCAATACACTTTGTGTGCAAGTACTTAGTTATAATCTCGATACATTTGGAATAAAAATTTATAGAGATATCACGAGAATATCTTAAGTCATTTCGTGTATTATTCGGAAACAATTTTTTTAAATATTGGAAATCTTTAAACATTTATTATATTAAAATTTTGAAGGTCTTTTCTCTCAATACTTATTATAACATTTCACATTATTATTTTAATCCATTCTCGATTTTATATAGATCCAAACAATAATCTTAATTTAGTTTAAAGGTATCATACGTTTCAGATATTTAAGCGCTTATAAAAGATGTCTAGACACAAAGATTTTTTAAGATTTTTAAGTATTTTATAATATATATAACTTAAGTTTTTTCAATAATTGTTAATATGACTCAATTAGAATAAATCAATAAATAAAAGAAGGGCAACGAGCCAATTATACTGTAAGATATTTAATAATCGTGTATATACAAACGTTTCGACACCATTAAATAATTTTATTCAAAAGGGCAAAGATCAATTAGATCCCTTACGCAATCAAAATGTAGTTTACAAGATCACTTGTGATGACTGTGAAGCCAGTTACGTGGGTCAGACAAAAGACAACTAAAGACAAGATTACACGAACATGTCTCCAATATTAATAAGAAGTCAAAATCCCCAACAGAGTGATCACAAGTCACCGCATTGACCAGAATCACAATTTCGACTGGGACAATGTTGAAATTTTAGACAGAGAAGCTTTCTTTAATAAGAGATTGATATCGAAGATGGTTCACATAAAACGACAAACGCATGGGCTAAACAAATAAAATGACACAATCTCTGCCAGAATCATATCTAAATATTATCCAATCTCTTTCCCCCTCTTAACATTGTCCTTTGTCTCCTTCCTATTATCTTTCCTATTTCTTTGTTTCCTTTTTGTCATAACGTCGCTTGACATCGTCGAATATAAATGTTACATCCAATTGTATTATGGCTTACTTTTTATTAAATATAACTTTGTTAATTGCGTTTTCTTCTCGGCGTCTATCTTACATCATTAAGACAATATAAGGTATATATGTTTTATCTAATTTGCATTTTAATTTAATTTACTATAAATGTACATTAATAATTTAAACTATAACGCATTAATGTATTATTTATTTGTGAGATTGTAGAATTATGAAAAGTGAGATGAGATCTCCTTTGATATTTTTACATATGGGCCGCATTTTATGAATACAACCAAACTTTTTATTAGACATTATAATTTGACTGAATTTTCCGATAATTTATGTAAGAGTGTTTGTTGTTTTACATTGAAAATGACCCGATCGGTGTCGAAACGTTTGTATATATACGATTAAATATCTTACAGTATAATTGGCTCGTTGCCCTTCTTTTATTTATTGATTAAGTTTTTCAACTTTAAGGCTAAAGAATTTTAAATTTTGAGTAAATTCAAAATAATTTAAATTTTCATATGATTAAATTGTTAGAAAATTCTCAAAAGGAGCATTCAATATATCTATTATACTATCTATCTTATATGCACCACACGTATATAGGCAAATTCTCTGTTGTAATCCCGTAAACAAAAATTCTTCCTCTTGTTTCTCAGATTATGGTCAACTATACCAAATTCCCCATTAGAAGCACGAGACATGTATCATCGCCTTGTGATGACGGCTATATATATATTCCGGTACGTATATCGAGGCAAATACGAAAAGGAGTGACTCTCCTGTTTTTCCTTTTCGTTACGAATCAACCCTGTGTATCGTTCCTCTTTATAAAAAAAATACTCGATATGAGGAGTAATATCGTCTCTTTTCGCTCGATCTTTCCATCGCTCTACACGCTTAAATGCACGT